ACATCGATAATTACGTGAAGAGCATACATATGTCTCTGTTTGACATACATCTTCCAAAAACTTTACTAAAGGCATGGTACCACCATCTGATAATGCTTGTCACTGCTGGACAGACAAGAGCACAGGGCAGATTCGTCTTATTCTTGAGCTTACTTCCGTTTCGAGTGGAAGTGTTGAGTGAAGAGATCCGAAGGTCGGTTCCACCAGAAGACGACGGCAGATTCCTTTCGACCAGCTGTCGATTGGCTTTACTGGAAGATTCATGCTGAAGCTGTTTCCAAGGCAATCTCCTTCGATTCCGGTGAAAAGGTGCTAAGCTTTCGTACGTCAAGAAAACTCATTAGCTTGAATTTTGTTGTGATGATGCTACCTTGCTCTGATGATGTCCGTGATATGACGGACGAAAGCTTAGCACGTTTTCACCGGAATCGAAGGAGATTGCCTTGGAAACAGCTTCAGCATGAATCTTCCAGTAGAGCCAATCTACAGCTGGTCAAGAGGAATCCGCTATCGTCTTTCGAACCTCTTCACCCAACACTTCCACTCGAAATGGAAACAATTATGAAACAAGAGATTTCTCGAAACCCAACTTTTTTTCGTATTATTCTCACAAAGTTGAGCTCTCTTGTTACTAATTTGTCAAAAGATTACTTCGAAATCCACCTTTTCTTCACGTCTATAAAATAACAATGTTTTTTTTCTATTTTAGGTGAAAGTGTGGTTTCAAAATCGCCGCATGAAGAAGAAGAAGCTGCAGGCTCGCAACAACACCGGCGGCGGAGCCGGAGGAGGGAGGACCGCCAACTCGGCGGCAGGCAGTAACGCCGATGAGTCTGGCGAGGGCAAGGCCACGTGTTCCGAGGATGAGGGGGAGGAGGAGGGAGAAGAAGAAGGAGAAGAGGAAGAGGAGGAAGAGGAGGGTGAAGAGGAGGAGGAGGAGGACGATGACGGAGAGGGGGGAGAAGAAGAAGACGACGAGGGAGAGGAGGAGGAGTGTAAAGGCGAGAGAGGAGACGTTGACCGGGCCGTGGGACGGGAGGAGAGTGAGAGTAGAAACTGTTTGGGGCATGTGGACGAAAGAGACGTTGATGATGCACTCAATTCCGGTGCGCCCGGCGACGAGTTCGAGACTGGCGACGGCCTGACTACCAGACCGGTACAGGCTTGCTCTCGCAGGCGTGTCCGGCTGGCAGGGCGGGCCAAATCACGCCGCCGACATCAACGACAACAACAACAACAACAACAACAGCACAGCAACAACAACAACCAACAACAGCAGCGTTCGCGAAGCCACAGACACGGCGCTGCCGGCGGCTCGGGTAGGGAGGTGGGAAGCGCGAGATGCGGTGGCAAGTCGGGCCTGAGAGACGACGAAGAGGAGGCCGAGGACGAAGAGGGAATGTTGGTGATGGGCGGCGGCTGCGAGGACGTCGACGACGCCGGAGGAGAGGGAGCAGCCGCAATGGCTTTGGGCCAATTGAACCAATTGGCCGACTCGATGGACGCCT